AATTCTCAGATATCCTTCACTGCTCTACACCGATGAACTAAAATCTACACCACATTGCACAGCAATCAATAATGATGTATTTTTGGTTCATCAATTTTTCATTTTTTTTCAAAACTACATTATTTGTTAATTTTCGTAAATGTGACCTGTGAAGTTTTCTTCTGATTGGATTTTTTTTTGTTTTTCTTTACCTAGGACCGACTTTCAATCTTACAAAAACGCAACACGTGTTTCGCCATATAATGGCTTCTTCTCTTTACTCAGTAAAGACAGGCACGAAGAAGCTATTGTATGGAAAAACACGTGTTGCGTTTTCATTAAACTGTTTAGTGAAAATCTCACAATACTCCAGTTATAGAATTTCATCAAGTATCGGCTTATTCCAATATATTTGTTACTTATAAGTTGAATGAAAGACAAATGAAACCTATATTTCATTCGAAGATGTGAAGTACTTTTTAAAACTCAATAATACAGTTTATTGCATGATTTTTACTATAAAACCACGACTGGTGTTTCGCTATACAGACGGTTTCTCAAGCGTTAATAATCAACGCTTGAGTATAGCGGAACAAGTGTCATGGTTTTGTAAAAGCCTTTACAGCGAAAATCTTACAAAAGCTTTCTCAAGCGTTAATACTTAACGCTTGAATAGAGCGAAACACGTTTCGTGGTTTTATGAAACCCTTTATAGTGAAAATCTTACAATAAACTGTATTAATGAGTTTTAATATGGATTTTCATCAAGTATCGGCCAGTTCTATTCAATTATTGCAGTACCCTTTAACGACTACATCAGGCTTATTAGCTTGTATGAGCCTGAGGGTGGGGAACGAATAGTTCCAATAAATTCGGTACAATGGATTCAATATCCCCCGGAGCGTAGGGCAACACCGGTGTCTCTTCAATACCGTAAGAGTGCCGTAGATGGTAATATAGCACTCTTAGTGCCGCATATGCGGTCTCGGCTTGTTATTATTATTATTACATTATACATTTAATGTATAAATTTGAAAATATTCTCATAGAATGAAACTGCAGCAACGTTAGTAACAAATAAAAGTGGTGAAAAAACATAGAAAGTTTCAAGCGTCATTTTTAATGACGATTTCCTACCACGTAGTAACGTCTATATCCATAAATTTATAGTACTGAGTAATTACTGATTTTTGACTTACTTTCTGCCCTAGGCATCTCAACTTTCAAATAGCATTCGAATTATTCTGATAATTCAAGGGAGAGAGATCAATATTCTATAATGAAGAGCAAATTTTTGGGCATTGTTTGCTCATACCGCCAGTTGACGCGATTTTCCACAAATTATCTGTAACATTCGAGATATAATTATCATTTCAATATGAAAACCAGAGCACAAACACAACGAATTTACGAAACAACACCCGGCATAGATCCGTTGTGCTAGGCAGAACTACAAATGCATTCATGGACTCTTGAAGGACAAACCTTATCAAATGAGGGCGATGACATATATCCTTATAGTGAAAGCTGTCGTGAAGAACAGAAAAAGAATCTTGTCGGCTTTGCAACTGACCGCCTTGAAGAACCTCTTTTATCTTGGATGTTCGAAGATTGATTATCTGTCAATCCCAAAGATTGGGTCTTAGTAAGGGAGGCTGCCATTTACCTTACTGATTATTATATTATCTTTTATATCATAATGATACTAGTTTTCGCTGACGGATACAGCAATGTTGACTGTAACATTATGAATTATTATAAACAATCTGTAGCATCTGATACATATGACGGCCCATGTATTCTCAATAATTCTCAGCAAATTTTTTGTTTTTGTTACATTGCAGAAAGTTATTTAATATTCCAACTGACCGTGCAATAATAATCAGTTCCACCTCAGAGAAACAAAACCTCATATACTTGATAGAAAATTTTTGCCCTTGTCAGATGTACAGTAGATAATTTGAAGTGACCTCGACATTTTGTGAGAATGTACACAATTCTTATGCGAGTCGGAAACGAAAAACTTCTTTTATGAGATTTCTCTTGACAAATTGCTTGAAGTTTGTTCCTGAATTCGGTGAAGCAGGTCAAACCAGATACCAGAAACAGCAGCTGAGATCTTGAAGTATCTTCTTTGTATGAGTTACAGATAAATAAACGCCAAATTGCGGATTGAAAATATCAGTTTTGAATAAACTGTTATTCAAGTTTCAATCACATATGAACGTTCCGTATAAACCAGGATAACTCGTGATCCTGATTAGGAAAATAAATTTCGATTCGCCTGTTAGCGAGAAAGAAAAGGCTGGGCTATTAGAATCTAGTCCAGTTGAATAATATCTGTATATTCACTGTGATAACCCTAAACGACATTTCAAATATATACATATCTTCATTGGTATCATCTATATTAATTCAACATTTTGTTGTCTCGAAGCATGTATTTGATTCACATATTTGTTAGCTTTTTTTTACAATTTGTATTATAGACCATTTGTAGTTATGAATGAATAACCATTATTTTTGTAGCAAATGTATTTAAATTCATTGAGAAGCGTTTTTTCTAGTTACAGAAAAACGTGAGAGTGGTAAAAAAAGATATTATGCCTTTCTATTGAAATTACCAACAGCCTAATACTGGTTGAAGGTTTTGAATGAAAATGTAGTTAACGACTAAACCGGATATGTTTCCAGATATCACATTAAGATTGATGCAGCCTGAAAAATTTCATCAATTTGTTCCCAACTGAATTTGCCGAATCCTAAAGCAACAGAAACCGCTCCCTCCACATATTTTTTGTCCGGAACGCTCACTTTCAATCATTTTCACCGATACATCGATAGCGGCACGAAACAAACATTGAAACTTTCCAATTTCCTAGATAGAGCGATGAATATGGTATCCGACAAAAAATATGCCGCTTCTAGAAAAATAATATACACGTATATGACATTTTCGACATAGGTCGGATGATAAATTTAAACAAATGTCACGGAAACCGGCATGACTTTGTTTTCACATAAATCTTCCGAACTTTATATGTGAATTTATAGTGCAGAAGAAGGCTGATAGTGGATTTTAAAATGTCATATCGCAGGTTTCTGACGAAGCTGATTATTATGTATGCCGCAAAGGCGATGTCGCCTACTTTCAAGGGCCTGTGATAACCGTGTGTTGAGTTTAAGAAATGAAAAAGATACAGAATCATATTGAAAAATCATTCATGAAAAAGGAAGAGTTTCCCGTTAAAGATAAAAACACACATTTTCAAATAGCTTCCGTTAGTATATTCAAATGTTTTTTAATTCTCCTCTGATAAAGTGCATATCTGAAAAGGTGGTATCTTTATCATTACTGGGAAAATAAATATCTCATTTTAAATTCATATCTTCCTTCAATTATACCCAAGATTGAAAAATTTTCTGATTATTCTGCAGCCTATTTGTACAAAAGTTAGTAAAGATTAGAACAAAATAATGAAATAATCGATAATGACATCAGGTTGCAAATAGATGTTGGAAACATTTTGCAGAAGTTTTCAGAATTTTTCAACAAATAAAGACTGGAGTTTCCTTAGTGAAGCAATACTTTGAAAGGCACATTCGTTTCAATGCCACCAGTATTTGCATATTTCAGTTTTTTCAAGCAGTATTCAATTGAAGATTTTGGTTGATGGGAGCAATTTCAATCTGAATTCGCTTGAAACATTATATATTTCGGTGTAACAAGAACTTGTAACTGCTATACCTGTTGAGTCAACTGACGATGGAATTCAAATTACAAATTGTCTCGAAATCAGCATACCATAAAGACATGTTGATGAAGTAAATAAAATAGATTCGGAATATCTGAAATGTCAGACATATTTCAATTTCCGGAACTGAAATGAAACTTCATACTTGGCAACGGCATTCTCATCGCGAACTGTTGCTATGACGACTCACCTGGCAAAAATACGGAACAGATTCAGGAACAGACTCCAATAACCCTGTAATTGCATTAGCCCTTGTAAACAATGTCGCTGACGCTGCTCGATTATCTATTCTACTCGGACAAGAGCGCTGAATTTACTACGAAGCAGGTGGGGTAATGGGCTGTAGCAAATGAGGTTTTGTACTGGCACTGTAATTAATTTTTTCTCGCCAAACACTACAAACTTCGTTTCCGTTAACAATGTTTATTTAACAAAGTTAACGCCGAATGGAAAGTGCATGTTCTGGTAAACTATTTTTCTCGTAAAACACCAGGTAATTGTAGTTTCATTCTTTAAGACCATATCAATACTCAACTGAATACAGAACTAAGAACTTCTGAAAAAGTGATGTGTAGTACTTATGCAACCACATTTATGTAATTTCATGACCTTGACATCTTTGCAGAAATGACATCATCAGAGGAAGCAAATATCACAGCAAGAATGTATTACTTTAATTCACCTAAATGATTATATACCAATAAATTGGTGGATGTTGCCGTTACTACGTGGTAGGAAATCATAACGAAGAAGAAACTTTTTATGTTTTTTACCACTTTTATTTGTAACTAACGTTACTGCAGTTTCGTCCTAAATGGACATTTTCAAACTTATACATTAAACTAATAATGGTTTATTACATTAGCCCTCATTTAGCACTCCTGTAGGTAATAATAGAGGTACTTGGCTTCATTAAGTACCCGAATTTACAATTTACAATGGGGATATGCTAATTTGAAAACTGGTGAGAAAACTAAATCGATTTGATCATTTAACAGGTTGCACCCGCAATGTTTATGGTTGTGAATTTCCAAGGATTCTAAAAAATTGAGTTTGTAACCCTTCCTTGCATAGGGCAAAATTTCCGTACCGTTTAGATTCGGGAACTACTCCATTGGTTTATGTGTGGCGTGATGGGTCATTGAAAGACCTAACAAATATTGGAAATAAGAAAAATGAATAGAATTTTAATTTTGCATCAACATATAGATAAGGTTTGCAGAAGTGGATACTTATTTACGCAATTATCTCGCAACCTTGACGATAAGTTTTGATCGCGACGAAGTAAACGTTTCCACGTTAACGAGACTCATTCGGTTTCATGTATATGTATGGGAACCCTCATTGAAACATTTGGAGAAATGATGAAAACAAAAAGTTTCAAATACGTGAAGCACTTTTCTGGTTTTCCAAAAGCAACGGATCTGGAGCTAGTTGAAGAAGAATTATCGCCATTGAAAGATGAAGGTAAATAGATCAGCAATAGTAAATGTGTTCATGAAAATATGAGTTACGATGCGAACGGATAATAATGAATGATATACAATAACCGATAGACGGTGTGATCTCCAATTTCTTGAAGTCATCAGACTCATTATCAATGAGAAATCACCAATGATAAAATATATGGAATTTAGCAGTTTCTGAGTCTATTTAAGTGTGAATGGTTTTACCAAAACCATCGATTTCTTCAGCGTACAGAAACCTTCATGAATTCGTGAAATCAATGCATGTTGAGTTCAGAAATCTGACTTCGAAATTTTATGTATAATAACTGATGATTGCAATCAATCAAGGCATTTCTATTTCAGGCAGGAGTTAGCAGAATAATCTGCCTACTTCAAGAAAAAATTGTGATTTTTTACATCGATGAAACATCTGGATCTGAAAAGGATCTGAAAATCATATACGTTCAATTTCATCACCAGAAAAATATATGTGACTGAACATTTGGGAGCTGGAGAATTGTGTTAACTTGTCTAATGTTTTTATTGCCAAAGAAATTATCGTTTCTCTAGCCAGTTGATTAGCTGAAATATTTCAAGCAGCACATTATTTCTTGTTCATTTCTCTACGAAATAAACTTTTGTGATTTTTTCACAAACTTTCGAATAATCGCAAAAGTTCTGCCAGAATCAGAAGATACCTTATTATCCAATGAATATAGCTAAGAGAAACCATATTTCGAAGGCGTGGATTGTCATCCACGAGGTCATTGCTAAATTCCATCTCCATCTTTGGAGCAGCATTGGCCTATATTCTCCTTTTTTTTTAGAATCCTGGTGGACTCTTGCTGTTTTCCAATCAAAAATACACCTAACACATACGAGTATGAGAGGTCAAACAACTTGCTCTTAATTAGTTTTCCAACAATAAGACCAACAAATTTTGGAACACGAATTTTAATATCGATTCGAAAGTTTTTTTCTATTATTATTTTCTCATTGAATTACCTGGATTTCGCTTGGGTCGAAATCAGATTCACATTGTTTTTAATTTTTTCCAATAACATAATGAAGAACATCTTTATATTCTAGAATTTCTTGCTGAGGCAGTATATCTAAGCGTGGATCCTTATATGAGGGCTTTCTCTGCAGGTTTTCCGATCGGTGAGACTATGGTTGGATATCAGGTAGCAAAGTAAGTGTGACAATTCTTTCAATTGTAATTTTTTTAATTATTAATGTGCTCAAGTTTATTTTTAAACCTTTGAATAGCATTGAGAATGATTGCCTTATGCGGTATTCAATGAACTCGTTGATTTTGTTTCAATGTTGATTAGTAGATACTTTCGATTGAAACTCAAATCATTCAATATTGTTTATGATCACTGAATGAAACCTCACATTAAAATTTCATGAATTATTCAACCAACAAAATCAAAATCCTCTATCTTCTTTTGGAAGTATTATCATTTTTTGAAAATGAGGAATTAACTGTAATGTATTACCAAAAATCTAATCACAATCAATTCCTACGAAAAACTATAAGAATATGAAACTGTTCAATAGAATTATAGAAACCAAGAATTCCAAATTTCCCCTTGGTAAATACGTCGTTGGAGGATTTGGTTGGAGAACTCACACCATATCGAACGGAAAAGGAGATTCTCAGAGCTTCTTGTCTCAAGATCCGTATCTAGTGGAGGATTGTGAAGATTTTTCATTATCTAGCATACTGGGAGTTCTAGGACCTTCTGGGTAAGTGCAAAATCCGAAAACAAAAGAAATTCTCGAAGAATGACTGAGATGAAAGAGTTGATGTTCTTTTATGTTTGTTTTTGTTCATCTTCTTTCAGATTATTGTGTATGATGGTGGAGAGAGTCTTCTCTGAATCATTGATCATCAACGTTTGTCCATTGACAAAAGAATTATATCATATAAACCTTGCGTGAGAGTTCTACATTATAGTTGTTATTTAGTTGTGGAGGGTGTACACGATGAGAGCAACTATAAGTGTGTTCCCGAGTAGAGAGGACTGGAACCCCCGGGAAAAGGAAATATTAAGAGCTGATATTCGTGTCTGTTGGTTCACACCTTCCGAAGGCAGTGACATCAACCTGCCTAGGAACCTATGCGACTGTATTTCAAGTGGAAATTCTCGCTATTGAATTGTGTGCGGAGAGATTGGAAGAATCTAACGTCTAAACTGGTAGAAAATCGCCAAAAACGACTCTCGTCGATAGGAAGACTTAACATATTGTTTCTGGTATGGATTCCTGGCCATACTGGCCTGGAGGGCAATGAGGCTGCTGACTCTGTTGCAAAGGAGGGTGCTGCAAGTAGCTTCATCGGACCAGAACCTGTCATTGGCATCGCTTTAGACTTTGTCAAACAAAAATTGAACACCTGGATGGCAAGAAGATTTATGGACTTCTGGTAGAATCTTCCAGGATTGGCTCACTCCAAGGCGTTTATACCAAAAAGTTGGTGGACTAGAGCAGGGATGAACTACGATGTCTAAAAGACATTCTTACAGGTCACTGTCATTTGAATCATCATATGCAGAGACTTGGACTGTCGGAAGACAGTGTGTCGCCTCTGTTTGGAAAGTGATGAAACAGCAGAGCACATACTTTGTGTCTGCCCCGCTGGCCGTACTCTTACCACCTGACCTGAAAAACCACTCACCATATAAACTAATCATTTTATTCTTGCAAAACTTTAATAGTTCTTGATCTGCTATTTGACTGACAAGCATTATAATTGATAAAATTGAACAAGTAATAAAGAATGAAAAACTGCCATATGTTCCTCAATATACACCAATTTCAATAGTTTTTCAGCATACCATGGCTTCCTGGAAATTTGTACTCCTGAAAAAGGAGAAACAGTAGTTGTTTCGGCAGCAGCTGGGTCAGTGGGGAGTCTTGTGGGACAAATTGCTAAAATAAAAGGTTGCACGGTAATAGGAATCGCTGGCTCCGTTGAAAAAGGAAATTGGTTGCTAAATGAATTGGGATTCGATGGATTCATTAACTATAAAACAGAAGATATACATGAAAAACTATCAAAGTTGGCTCCAAGAGGAGTGGATTGTTATTTTGACAATGTGAGTATATTATATTTGTTGGATTGTCCCACCATATGAATGACTTTTCAGAATAGTGGAGAATTTCAGAGATTTTCCCATTCTTGAAAAATATTTACGATTGCACGGGTGCAATTCAGAGGTAATTTTATCACGAAACATAGTTCAAGTCCAAGAAACATATAAACGGAAAGTCTGATTTGTATAATGTAACGAAGTATTTTCACCTACTTATTCAACCTTGATTATACAATTATTCAGTTGGACTCCAGGACTATGAGAGAATGCAAAACAATCTTGATGCATTTGCAGAAATCTGTGGCAATATACCTAAATCACGAAAAATGCCACAAAATAATTTTTACCAGAAATAGAAATCTCCTTGATTATCAATACCAAATAGGAAATCGTACAATTATTCGTAAAACAGCGAATGAAATACGCGATTTAGGAGTAATATCCGTAATCGTTTGTTGGAATTCATTATCAGAAATACAAGACCTTTCAGAAATGCAAAAACTCTGGTAAATATATATTACTCTTCAAAAAATAATCCTTTGAACTCTGCATTTGTCCTTTGGAGTCCGCAATATACGATTTATCAACAGAGAATTGAAAGTGTTCAAAATAAATTCATCAAACAATTAGCCCGTAAAACAAAAATTTCTGTTAACAATGGAAATTTTCGTCCAGTTTCAAAAAAATATTCCTTTTTATCTCTAACAGATAGGAAAAAAATTTCAGATACCTATATGAATGTTGTACAAAATACTCAATAATCGTGTCGATTGTCCAAAGTTGATAACAATAATTTCTTTGCTATCCCATTTAGAAAAACCAATCCAGGTAAAAACTCTCCTGTATGCAGAATTGTCAGATCNACTTGAGTATAGCGGAACACGTGTCATGGTTTTGTAAAACCCTTCACAGCGAAAATCTTACAAAAGCTTTCTCGAGCGTTAATACTTAACGCTTGAATATAGCGAAACACGTGTCGTGGTTTTGCGAAACCCTTTATAGTGACAATCATACAATAAACTGTATTAATGAGTTTTAATATAGATTTTCATCAAGTATCGGCCAGTTCTATTCAATTATTGAAGTACCCTTTTTCAAAAAAAAAAATGAGAATGATATTGGAAGGAACAAATTGATAATTTCGATTTTCAGGTTGGGGGAAATATCAGTTCGATTGTTTTGCGTCACATGAATGATAGTGGAAGAATTTCAGTTTGTGGTTTGATTTCAGAATATAACGAAGAGGAGAAAAAAGGTAATCATTTTATTGAAATCCAATCAAACCTTACTTTATCAACATTTAAATTCACAAAAATTTTGATAGTGAATCCAATTATTTGTATTTTGAAACGGCGAAATACCCTAGAAAATTCAAAACATAACCAAAACATTTTATACTGATATAAAACATTTTTAATATCACTGAAACAATCAATAAGATGAATCATTACCTTTTTTGTTCATTAAAAAGTTAAGAGAAAAAAATTTTAATTCATTTAATAATTTCGATTCATCTCCATCCATCTCCAATCAATCATAATATGATGGCTAGTTCTTGAGTAGACTCCATATATTTTTCTGGATAACAGGAGCCACTGCGCCTTGTTCAATTTTGTCTCAATATTTTAACTGGTAATGTTTACAGGAAACCCTATACATGTTTAATTGCAAAAGGCGACAATAACAAAGAGCCAACATCCATCCATAGAATTAAATGAAAACTAACTTATGAATTAGGGCAATTTTTTGAAAATGATGATTATAACAAAAAAGCAGGAAACTTATTTTTCTGTGGAGTGAATTGCATAACGAATAAAAGAGGTAATATAGACTCCCTAGTGAACATTTCGGTAGAAAACTACTAGTTATTTGAATAAACTATAGGTTACACTTAATACCTGTAATTTTACTTGAAAGACGATTTATTGAAAACGATGAATTTTAGTGAAAAGAGTGATGAAAATAACCACCAAAAAGGGAATAGATATTTTTGTAAGAGTTTTATATTAATAAAACAACTCATCTTATCTATGGATTCTTGTGTGAGAAATGGTATGGAAGAACCGATGGAAGAGATCAGTTGATCCAGTGGTTGAAAGAAGGAAGAATCAAGTATCAGGAAACGAAAACGAAAGGTTTTGATAAAATGTTTGCTGCTTTCGTAGATATTCTAAATGGTCGTAATTGTGGTAAAGCCATAGTGGAAGTTTAAAAATCGATAAAAATATTTTGGAATGAATGACCTAAATATCCTAAATATTGTGACAAATCCAATTTTTTTAAATACTGATGAGATCGTAGCTGTTAATTAAACCATGTAATACATAGCATCGAACTTATATAACAATTGAACGTTATATCTGAATTAATGACAAACAGATTGTGTTTATTTCACTAATATTATCCATTAGTCACTGTTCCAACCACACTAAAAATAATATAAATAATTACCTTCAAAACCTGGTCACCCCATGAACATTCAAAAGCAACACCAAAAATATGACTTACATCAATCATGAAGACCCACATTTACATACAGCATTGTATATATTAATATTTAGAGACTACATGACGTCGCCGCGTCTAGTGCTCCCGAGGGGTTGCAATAATTCAAAGGGTCGAATGCAAGCTTGATATTGAAACCGAGCCACCGTCTATCTAGGGATGTTACTCAATTACAATCTACAAACTCCTACCTAAATACTGACCAATGTCTACGTCATGTTCTGCAAACACATATTGTCAATATTTAGGGGCAGTTAGTTGATATTCGATTACCTCAGTGTTGATAGTCAATTGTCTACACCGAATAGGTATCTGTTATTGGGAAGTCTCACAATCAATTGCTTTTCATAGAAATGGATTGTTCCATGTTTTGTTGAAAGAGCTTCTCTCACTTGGAGAAGAAAGCAGTAACGAGTAATACTCTGCTTCTCTCTCTCTTTCGGAAACAGTACTAAGCCAAAAATGAATAGTTCATAATTGATTACCGTTAAATTTGTTGACACGAATTATTTTCAGGATTCAAATATCCCTTTTTGTGATTCAGGAGCCACAGACTGGAAAGTCCGAATTATGTACAGGATATTCACTTGATCACGTTCACCTGTTTCTTTAGATGCATGTTTCACTAACTAAGTCAGCATCATCAGGAGATGACTAAAATAATGCTTCAACTTTTATGCCAGAAACGCGTTTTCACTAGTTACATAAACAAATAAAATTGGCAACCTCGATATCGAAATAATTTTGGAAATTCCAAGAACAGATATTAGTAGTGTGAATAAATGAATAACTGAAATGAACGAAAGTATTGAACAACGAAAGAGAAATGTTGCTATTGCCGAAGTCGAGCATCGTGAACCATTCGAGCAACTAATGGTAATTTTTTGCCAGTGGAATAATATACTTCTATAACAACAGGACTATTTCGAAATAAGATCCATTTGTAGAAGATTTCGAGTGAGAAATATCATCAAATCGCCCCGTGGGTTGGTCTACCTATCGGTCGTGTCTCCAGGTGGCGTCCCGGGCTCCTGGTCAGTGGCAGAAATAAGTAGGGTGGGGGGAACTAAAACTTCCCAAAAGCCTTTGCAGAACATGCCACCGTGAACCAGCCTACCCAAGCAAAGGTGTAAGGAATCGTGCCGACAGCTGAATGGCCGCAGCGTGATATGCGGTTACGAACGTTCCCTTCGAGGAACTGTGCGAAACCTCATTGTAATCAGCCTACCTCTGGAAATGCGGGGCTCTGCCAGAGGTGAGCAACTCTTCCCTTGCTACTCGTGGGAACACACATGAATGAAACAAACACAAAAACCGAAACAACAAAAATGAAAACCAATCCCGAGGCTCATCAGAAGTGTTCACCTCAATCTAAGGCGGTGGCTGGGGATGTCCACAGAAATGTCCACCCCAATCTACCGTTTGGAATGAGGCTGGACATAGCAGATCACCTCGTAATGTAATACAAAGGCCAAGACGTGAGCGCATTTGCGGCGCCGTGGCCAAAAGAAGAAAAAGAGCGAAGGAGGCAGGAGTGGTAGCAACGACAGTAATGTCGCTGTACCTTCCAAAACCTTCGCGGAGGCCATCGTGAGACACCTCAAGGTTGCCAAAGAGAGTGTGGGTTTGGCGAGTCTTGGTCTACACCTGCCAATATAAAGGAGATGTCTCCTAGTGGCCTTCCTGGAAAGAACAGGATGGACGATGGCCTAGGAGGTCAACTCCTCGGGAGGATGTACGATGGGTCACATGTGGACTAAGTGCTGTGGATCTACTATGTCCACAGAAATGTCCACCCCAATCTACCGTTGGAATGAGGCTGGCCATAGCAGAGCACCTCGTAATGTAATACAAAGGCCAAGACGTGAGCGCATTTGCGGCGCCGTGGTCAAAAGGAGAAAGAGAGCGAAGGAGACAGGAGTGGTAGCAACTATAAGTGCACCCTCCTCCTCCCCCACTCCACCTCCAACAGCAAGGGCACTTCCTGCGGCGGGAGCCAAGAGCTCCGCCTTGAATAAAAGCAAGCAACCGGCTGCACCTGCAGGAAAGCTCCCTCACTCCACGAAGGGAACTCCAAGAAGGTTGAAGAAGCCGCACAACGACAGTAATGTCGCTGCACCTTCCAAAACCTTCGCGGAGGCCATCGTGAGACGCCTCAAGGTTGCCAAAGAGAGTGTGGGTTTGGCGAGTCTTGGCCTACACCTGCCAATATAAAGGAGATGTCTCCTAGTGGCCTTCCTGGAAAGAACAGGATGGACGATGGCCTAGGAGGTCAACTCCTCGAGAGGATGTGGACTAAGTGCTGTGGACCTACACTCACCCTCTCTACTCTACAGATACAGAAAGAGATCATCAAATAGTATAACGAGAAGCAATCTGTAAACGATACCAAAAGTATGTAAAGTTTTTTGTTAGTCAACTCAATTTCTGACAGTTTGAATATTGAGTACAAAAAAGCGGCTTACAAATCAGTGAGACATGAAGTTATTCAAGACTTTAACAACTCCTATTTTGTTATCAAATGATGACTTTCAAAAGAAATCAATTTTTATCTCTATTTTTTGTGAGAAAATATATTTCGAAACGAAATGTCAGTTCAGTAATTAGGTTTGACAATTGTCATGAAAAAAATATTTTTTGAATTGTTGTCACAGTTGTGACACCCAAACAGGAGTATGAATACTATTCCAGAGCTTCGGTAAAGTGCTGTAGGTTGTCTCACATCAGACTCATAGGGGCCATTCAATTATTACGTAAGCCTATTTATTACAATTATTCACCCCCCACCCCCTATGTCCGCAAAAGTAAGCAACGCTCTCATCCACCCTTCCATACTTACGTAAACATTGTTGTATGATTTCTCTTATAATAATAAGGATGAAGGACTTTAACACACATAATATTCAGTCAAAAAAACTTTATTGACACAATATTCAATGATTATAATCTAAAGAAATATAATTAAAAAAACAAACTCAATTGAAATTGTCGGTATACATATTATATCCAATTAAGAGAGTCTTCAGTCTGTAACACTCGAATCTATGATTCTAAGTTTATAATAACATATGATGTTTGTTAAAATTTTGGACAACTAAATAGCGCGTGGTAATTCCTCTACTCGGTTCTAAGCGAGCTCCTAAACGTTAACATTATTTACGGGAATCCCCAAGAATGCACTTCGTTTTCAAACATAGATAATGTGTGGGTTGCCATATGAGTGAAAAAGTAAATAACTACTGCTGATGTAATCACTATCCAGACCCCCCGCCTCCCATGTCATCAAAAATAAGCAAATCTAAAGAAATGAACTTTAAACGTTCAAGCCAGTCTCGAATATATCTACACAGTAGGTTGAATGGATTGACGCCTATCAGAAAACAACTACTCCCCTGGCTAATACCATGAAGGGCGTTGGATCATATCTGAAAGGCGTCAGTGCAGGAATCTTCACAGAAAATTTCCTGCATATGCAATTGGCAATACAACTGAAAGAGTTGACCTTCAATTTTGGAACGGGCAGACTTGCAGACCGGTTTCGAGCGCTCATTAGCCACTCATAAGTGCAAGATAGTGGCCATCATCGACCTAAAGTCAATGATATTCCATAATTGAAAGTCGGAATTCTTTCAGAGTATTTCATTCCTCTTCCTAAGTTGGAGCAAACAACAAAATATCACTCCATCTAGTGGACGAGGTTCTAATCAACTGCATATCCGTAATTTGCTCGATTCCTCTGAATAAGGAAGAAAAAACTTTCTTATTAGTCAGTGGGCTATGCTTGAAGACTGGCAGTAAACAAATCTAAAGAAAAGAACTTTAAACGTTCAAGCCAGTCTCGAATATACCTACACAGGAGGTTGAATGGACTGACGCCTATCAGAAAACAACTACTCTTCTGGTTAATACCACGAAGGGAGTTGGATTATATCCGACAGGCGTCAGTCCTGCATCTGCAATTAGCAGTACAACTGAAAGAGTCGACCTTCAATTTTGGAACGGCACACTTGCAGACTGGTTTCGGGTTCATTAGCCTGGGGAGTAGTTGTTGTTGTAGACTTGTTTACTGCCAGTCTTCAAGCATAGCCCATTGACTAATAAAAAAGTTTTTCTTCCTTATTCAGAAGAATCGGGCAAATTACGGATATTCATTTGGTTAGTACCTCGTCCACTAGATGAAGTGACATTTTGTTGTTCGCTCCAACTTAGGAAGAGGAATGACATACTCTGAAAAAATTCCGATTTTCAATTATGGAATATCATTGACTTTAGGTCGATGATGGCTACTATCTTGCACGGATGAGTGCCCACTGACTAATAGGAAAAAAAATAAGCAAAGCAAACCCCCCCCACCTCCTTATAGTGCTTACGTAATAATTGAACGGCCCCATGCCAGATACGAAAATTTTTTATAACTTGATATGTCCGATCGTAATGTTCCACTTCAAATTGTAAAACCAAAATATTCGTTTTTATTTGACGGAGTGATAAGTTTTTCGAAATTTTCAAAAACTAGTATTCGTACATTCTGTTATCTATATATTTCTGGATGACTGTTCAAAAACAAAACATATATAGGGTGATCAAGGTACTGAGGAAAATAATTAATTCATTTGAACAGGAAGTACAAAAAATTTCAATGATACTAATAGTTTGATCATTACCAAATGCGATTCCCTAATCAAAATTACTAAAGGATCCAACGAACCCTCTTCATTCTGTGAATCGTTATCCAATACAAGAAACAGAGAAACACAAGAGATAACTACGAAATTTGTTATCGTCGAGTCCTGTTGCGGTCGGACAGGACGTAATCCGCGAGGATTATGCAAACCGCTCGGGATACCGGAAGAGAAAGGAGAAAATGTTTATATTCCCCTAGATTATGATGTCTACAGTTGCGAGATTTGATATTATAGACGAGCTGACTGTTTTATATAATCCATATTTACATAAAT